CTGGGGGGTGGGGTGGGGGGTGAGAGAGTCACCCCAATGGATGAGCCCTCTCCTCCCCCAAGATCTCTTTCCCCTTCTCTCTCTCCTCCTCCTCCCTGTCTTTGTTCACTGCCCCCTTCTCTCTCTCTCTGTGGCTCGGAAGGATTGGCTTTGTATCGGTCAGCGTCGGGAGCTTTGATTTCGCCGCAGACGCACCCACTCATGAAAAAATATTTCCATCGATAACAATCAAAATTTGCAGACAGGCAAAGTAAGAAAAACCCGGCTTTGGAAATTATTTCAGGCTATTGACTTTGTCTGATTTGCCACATGACGTTGCCAGTGTGTGTTTTAATGGTCAGAAAGCTCTAAATTTTGGTATTGCAAGACGTTTGTTGCCATTAGATAATGACAGTCACCCGCCTTTTCCACCCGGCCCCAATTGTCTGACCTCGCCAGAATTTCCAGCAACATTTCAATCAATTCAAAATAAAAAAAACATTAAAACCCCATAATTTTGTGGCCACTGCGAAAATTTAAATTGACTAAAAAAAGCTTAACAATAAACAGCAACATTATCTGTTGAAATTATACGAAAATAAAAATAGAAATCTGCCAAACCTCGTTCGTTCGTTCGTTCTTTTGCTTTAATCTTAATTCCTATTTGTGCTATTTCCTGCATTCTTTCATAAACTTTTTTTTCCCTTTCTGTCATTGCTGTATTTATTTCTTCCTTGACTCTATTTCATTCATTTATTGGCTCAATTTTATTCTCTTTCTTTGCTTTATTTCATTATTTCCTTCCTTCATTCCTTTGTTGTTTCTTTGCCCTATTTCTTTCCTTCATTGTGCCCTCGGCTTGCTTTTTCTCCTTGGCTCAATTTCATTCTTTTCTTCCTTTGTTCCTTGACTCATTGCATTCGTTCTTTATTTGCTCTATGGTATTCCTTCTTTCCTTTTTTCTATTTAAATCATTCCTTCCTTCCTTCCTTCCTTCCTTCCTCTTGTATTCTCTCTCTCTCTCTCCCCCAGCCCCACCTTGTCAAAGTTTCTTTGCTTCTTGTCCAGGGCGGCTGCGGCGGCGTTTGACCGCTCCACGTCCACCATCAGGTCCTCGATCTCATTCTGCAGCCGGTGCTTGGTCTTCTCCAGTGACGAGCACTTGGCGTTCACGGCCTCCACAGCCTCCTCCGCCTCTTGCAGCCGCTGCGCCAACTTCTTCCTGCCACCGGGGGGTGACAGACACCATCGGTCACCAGGGAGGGGCCTAACCCCTTTCCCTCTCCTCTGGGCTTGGAGTTACAGGGGGTTCCCAGCAGAAAATCCCTGAGACACTGGCCCAGTGCATTGGATCCTCACACTCTAGACCATTCTAGACAAAAACCAACTCTGGTCTTTTGTCTAAGGCTCTAGACCATCCCAGCATGGAGCACTCCCATCTCTCATCTGTTCACACCTTTCTAGACCCACTTTGGAGCAGGGCAGCTAGAATTTTCTCTGAGGTTCAAGATCAGAGGCCAAGCCATCCCACATGGCTCCAATTGAGCATGCATTGGTAGGGCTGCAGGCTTGGCCTGTACCTCCCTCCCTGAGGTTCTAAAGGACGATCTAGACCATTCTAGACCTTCCCCAGGGTGGATCTGCCGAGCCTCCTCTTTAAGATTCTAGGGCAAATGAGAGCCTGCTGGGGCAGATGAAAGAGTCCATGAGGTTTGGCCTGGATCCCAGCACTGGTTCTCTAGATGGCCGTGTAGAATGCTCTAGACCAGGGGGAGGCAACCTATGGCACCTGTGCCGAAGGCGGCACGCGAGCTGATTTTCAGTGGCACTCACACTGCCCGGGTCCTGGCCACCGGTCCGGGGGGCTCTGCATTTTAATTTAATTTTAAATGAAGCTTCTTAAACATTTTAAAAACCTTATTTACTTTACATACAACAATAGTTTAGTTATATATTAAAGACTTACAGAAAGAGACCTTCTAAAAACGTTAAAATGTATTACTAGCACGTGAAACCTTAAATTAGCGTGAATAAATGAAGACTCGGCGCACCACTTCTGAAAGGTTGCCGACCCCTGCTCTAGACCAAAGCTCCAAGGGCCCATCATTACGTGCAGATCAGGGAGCCTACAAGGGTCGGGCCTGGACCTTGTATCTGATGTTCTAGACTGTTCTAGGACTGATTTCCAGAAGAGCCACACAGATTCAACCTGTTATTCTAGAACAAATCTCCCAGCTTAAAACTTCCTGAGCACAGGTGAAAGAAGCAGTGAGGTTTCTCTGATATTCTCTGACATTCCAGAGGATTGGTCTATACTGATTTAGAATGAACTCTAAGTTCCATAGGGTAGTCTGGCTAACTTTTCAAGAAGGGCTACCTACCTTAGTGCTGGTACCGTGGGTGGAGGACACGTGGGGGTGGGGGTCTCTCCTCCAACCAACAAGCTTTTTGCTCGTCTTATACGCCGCGAGTGAAAATATAACCCGAGCCAAAAGCTTCCCTGTTAGAGGAAGCACCTGAGAACCCCGTTGTCCAGGGCTGAGCGGGGGGCGCTCACCAGGAAAAAGGGGCGGGAGAGATGGAGAGCGAGAGATGAGGACAGAAATAAGGGAGAGGGGGAAGAAAGGATGTAAGAATGACGGGGGAAGCAAGAACACAAGGAGAAAAGCCGGTAAGAAGAAGGCACACAAGCCGGGAGGCTGGGAAAAGGAACGGGAGCATGACTGACCCTGGAGCATTCCCCCTCCTCCCCCACCCACCACGGCTCTGCCCGCCACTCACTTGGCCTCCTCCAGCTCCTCCGTCCGCTGGATGGCGTCCGTCTCGTACTTGGTTCTCCACTGCGCCACCTCGGAGTTGGCCTTGGAGAGCGAGCGCTGCAGCTCGGCTTTCGCCTCCATCTCCTCCTCGTATTGCTCCCGCAGCAGTTCGCAGTCATGCCGTGCTGACTGCAGCGCATGAGCCAGGGCGTTCTTCGCCTGAGGTGGGGGACAAAGAGCTCTGCCGGTGCCCCTCACTCCCGACCCGCAGCCCCTGCTAGCCCAGCCCCCCCCTAGCTCTGCCGGTGCCCCTCACTCCTGACCTGCAGCCCCCTGCTAGCCCAGTCCCACCCCAGCCCTGCTGGTGCCCATCACAGCCGACCCGTAGCCCCGGCTAGCCGAGCTCTGGGCTCTTCCCCACCAGCTCTACCAGTGCTCCTCACTCCTGACATGCAGACCCCTGCTATCATATCACCTTGGTTTCCTCCTCCAGCTGTCTTTTTAAGTCCTCCATCTGCTGGGTGTAGGACTGTTTGCCCCGGGTCAGCTGGGAGATCAGGGCCTCCTTCTCCTCTAGCTGGCGGGACAGTTCACCTGCATGGGGCAGAGAATAGGGTAGGGCAAAGGTTGGGTCAAGCTTACAGTGATAATCAGGGTTACTGGGTTAGGGTCAAGGTATAATCAGGGTTAGTGGGTTAGGGTCAGGGGTATAATCAGGGTTACTGGGTTAGGGTCAGGGGTACAATCAGGGTTAGTGGGTTAGGGTCGGGGTAGAATCAGGGTTAGTGGGTTAGGGTCAGGGGTATAATGAGGTTTAGTGGGTTAGGGTCAGGGTATAATCAGGGTTAGTGGGTTAGGGTCGGGGTAGAATCAGGGTTAGTAGGTTAGGGTCGGGGTAGAATCAGGGTTAGTGGGTTAGGGTCAGGGGT